AAGGCAAGGCAAGTTTATTTATATAGCACTTTTCAACACAAGGCAATTCAAAAGTGCTTTACAAAAAATGAAAGACATTAAGAAAATGGCATTTAAATCAGTCATTAAAAAGAAAAGCTAATAAAATAAACATTAAAAGAAAAAATACATGGATAAAAGTTACAGTGCAGTCTAAGATATGAATAGTTCAATTAAACATTAAAAGAAAAAAATACATGGATAAAAGTTACAGTACAGTCTAAGATATGAATAGTTCAATTAAACATTAAAAGAAAAAGTACATGGATAAAAGTTACAGTGCAGTCTAAGATATGAATAGTTCAATTAAAAGCAGCGACAAAAAGAAAAGTCTTCAGCCTGGATTTAAAAGTAGTCAGAGTTGCAGCGGACCTGCAGGTTTCTGGGAGTTTGTTCCAGATATTTGGAGCATAATAACTGAACGCTGCTTTACCATGTTTAGTTCTGACTCTGGGGACAGAAAGCTGACCAGTCCCTGAAGACCTGAGAGATCTGGATGGTTCATAATTTAGCAGGAGGTCAGAAATGTATTTTGGGCCTAAACCATTCAGTGCTTTATAAACCAGCAGCAGTATTTTTGAAATCTATTCTTTGACACACAGGAAGCCAGTGTAAAGACTTCAGAACAGGAGTGATGTGATTCACTTTCTTAGTGTTAGTGAGGACTCGAGCAGCGGCGTTCTGAATCAGCTGCAGCTTTCTAATAGATTTTTTAGTGAGACCTGTAAAGACACCATTGCAGTAGTCGAGTCTACTGAAGATAAAAGCATGGACAAGTTTTTCCAAATCCTGCTGTGACATTAGTCTTTTAATCCTAGATATATTCTTTAGGTGATAGTAGGCTGATTTAGTAACTGTTTTAATGTGACTGTTGAAACTCAGGTCAGAGTCCATGACTACACCTAGATTTCTGGCTTTATCTGTTGTTTTGAACATTGCAGACTGAAGCTCAGCGCTAACTTTTATACGTTCTGACTTGGCTCCAAAAACCATTACCTCAGTTTTATCTTTGTTTAATTGGAGAAAGTTCTGACACATCCAGTCATTGATTTGTTCAATGCACTTACTCAGTGTTTGAATTGGAGCATAGTCTCCTGGTGAAATTGTTATGTAAATTTGTGTGTCATCTGCATAGCTATGGTAACTTATTTTGTTGTTTTTCATTATCTGAGCCAGTGGTAGCATGTAGACGTTAAAGAGAAGAGGCCCCAAGATGGAGCCTTGAGGAACCCCACATGTCATATTTGTCAACTCAGATGTGTATTTACCTATAGAAACAAAGTTGTTTCTGTCCTTTAAGTAGGATTCAAACCAATTCAGAACTGTTTCCGAAAGTCCCACCCAGTTCTCCAGTCGGTCTAGTAATATGCTGTGGTCAACAGTGTCAAACGCAGCACTGAGATCTAATAATACTAACACTGAAGTTCTGCCACTGTCTGTGTTTAAGTGGATGTCATTAAAGACCTTTACAAGAACAGTCTCAGTGCTGTGGTTTGGACGAAAGCCTGACTGGAAAACATCAAAACAGTTATTTAAATGCAAGAAATTACTCAACTGTTGAAAAACAACTTTTTCAATGATTTTACCTAGAAATGGCAGGTTTGATATGGGCCTGTAATTGTTCATTACTGAAGCATCTAGATTATTCTTTTTTAAGAGCGGTTTAATGACTGCAGTTTTCAGGGCCTGTGGAAAAATACCTGAGTGAAGAGATTTGTTTACTATATGAAGTAGATCTGAGGCCATGCAAGGCAAAACATCTTTAAAAAATCCTGTTGGAATAATATCAAGGCAGCAAGAGGAGGATTTCAGAAGTTGTATAATGTCCTCTAGGTTTTTATCATTCATCTGATGGAATTGTGTCGTGGTGTCTGAATTTATGTTAAGTGGACACAGAGACAACACATTTGCTGTACCTGATGCAGAGGCACTGACTGCTTGTCTGATTTTCTGAATTTTGTCAGTGAAGAAGGAGGCAAAATCATTGCACGCCCTGGTGGATAGAAATTCAGAGGCTACTGACACTGGGGGGTTAGTTAGTCTGTCGACGGTAGCAAACAAGGCACGTGCATTGTTTTTGGTAATGATGTCAGAGAAGAACGATTGTCGTGCGTTTTTCAATTCCAAATTATAAAGGCCAAGTCTCTCTTTATAGATTTCAAAGTGAACCTGGAGATTTGTTTTTCGCCACCTGCGTTCAGCTTTTCGACATTCTCTTTTTCTGTTTTCACGCTCATGCCTTTCTCCATGGAGATATTTTCTTGCCAGACACTTCCTTTACCTTAGTTGGAGCAATGGCATCTATAACATTTTTAATTTTTGAATGAAAATGATCTACTAGCTCATTTACTGAGATGTTAGCAGGGGCAAGTGTGGAAGAAAAATTCTGAGTAAAACATTTCCCTAGTATTTCAGTTAAATATCGCTTTGTGGTCACCTCTTTTTGAACATTTTTGTGAACAGAAATAGAGCTCTCAAAGAAAACACAGGAATGGTCAGAGAGTGCAACATCAGTCACCACAACCTTAGAGATATTCAGACCCTTTGAGATAATTAAGTCCAGAGTGTGCCCCTTATTGTGCGTGGGCTCCGTCACATGCTGAGTCAGTCCATAGCTATCAAGAACACAAAACAGTTCTTTAGCCCCTCTGTCCTGGGGGTTGTCAACATGGATGTTAAAATCACCAACAATGACTAGACGGTCAAAGTCAATACACACTATAGACAGCAGTTCAGTAAAGTCATCAAAAAAGCTTGCACAGTATTTGGGTGGTCTATAGATATTTAGGAACAGAGCTCGAGAGGAGCATTTCAGCTGAAGGGCCACATATTCAAAATAATCAAAGTTTCCATACGATGTCTTCCTGCATTGAAGGGAATCATTGAACAGAATAGCAACTCCACCCCCTTTCTTATGCATTCTTTCCTGACTCATAAAACTAAAGTTGGGAGGGGTTGATTCGATAAGAACAGCTGCACTGTTATTTTGTTCAATCCAAGTTTCTGTTAAAAAAAATTAACACAACGAGCATATGCGCATTAAATCGCAAACAGCTCAATCTCACTCTTGACACTGCCACTTCAGCTGGCTGCAGTCTCCCTCCCCTAATTGGAGCTCACAGGAATCCGACTCATCTCCTCCTCTTCCCTCACAAAGGTTATGTGAAATCATCAGCAAGAACATGAACGAAGCAAGAGGAGGAGAAAGAGCGGGAGAAAGATGTAGGAGAGTGGCTGATAATAATGTCTCCATCTCTTCTTTTAGTGGTTCAGAAGTAGTCGTCTACTAATGAAAAGGTGCCTTGCTAGCAGTCCACAAACATCAGTCATCGAACCTTCTCACAGCTGCTTACTAACGGTGAATTCTCCATAAAAATGTATCTAAAGCCACTGGGGTCACCTCGGAATAAGAGGACTTGGAAGAAGATTCAGTCAAACAACAGGGGGTGTCAAGAAAAAAAAATCATTTACTGCTATAATACTTTCTATGTTCTGTTCAGTGGATCTGTTATCACACTGAGGGAATTTAAGTGGCAATTGACTCTGATGGAGGAAATGTAACCTTGTTGTTGCACCCCTATTACACAAAGTCAATATTTTCATTTAATCTGAGGCCCTTTGCCGGAGCGGCTGAGAAACAGCATTCTGCGTCTTCACAAACAATTTGCACTGGAGCAAAATGAAGCATGAATTCTACTCCCGCTCTACACGTCTGCCAGGTATTGGCACAAACTAGGGTGTGATCATTTTTCACATTATCCTGCAATGGTAAAGTGGATTACATGCGTTTTCACTGCATTGCAAATTGTTGTTCCACTAATTATGCTTTTCAATCTGACAATCTCTCAATTAGGGTTACGATTGATCAATCGATTAATATTTTTTGTTTAAATATATTTAGCCATAAAACAACTTAAACAATGAGAAGTCAGGCTCACTTAAGGTGGGATGAACTATTTTCATTTTAGTGGCAAGCTGCTCAGAAACTTGACCAACAACCATTACCTCCAACAACAGGAGGTGATAGTCCATTCATGAAATAGTTATATCATATCTATATGTTTTGTGTGAGTTAATATTAAAGGTCACCTATCATGCCATTTTTAGGCAATAGCATAGGTCTCAGATATATAAACATTTATAAAAAACATGTCTTTGAAATGTTTTGCTCAAAATACCAACCAGATCACCAATTCTAGCCATGCCTCATATCCCTCTATTTCACTTCCTGTTACTAAAGTGCTGATTCGGGGTATAATAAAAAATAAAAGAGGGGGCCGAACTTATGCTGCTCATGCGGGACCCGGCAGATACTGTCTCTAAAATAAATGCTGCGGTGATGAAACGCCAAAACCACATCAAGGATTATTTCTGAAACAGTATGGAGCTCAAAGGCTTTTTTCTCTTGCCGGTTTACCACAAGGTGAGTTCCTTTTTATTTCCTGCTTCTTCACACATGTGCTCTCTCCATTACAGGTTAGCTGTGAGTGTTAGCGATGCTTGCTAATGTAAACACCGACCATATTACGTCCAAAACACGTCGGGCATTGATTCTGATTGTGAGTTTCTGATAGGGCCGTGGGTCCACCACGTGGGTGCCATCCGATATGACGTAAATAACGTCATATTGAATGGCAAATCTGGATCAGCTCGTTGTAGCCCCGTTTTCAGAGATTTGTGCAAGGAGTAAAAGAGAGAGGAATTTATTTTCTGACACTTTGTGAGTTCCCTGACACGCCGGGGACACATATGTATGTATAAAAGACATAAAAAAGTGCATTTTGAATGATAGGTCCCCTTTAAAGTAACTGATTCTGTTGAGTGTCTTAAAGGGGCATATGATGCAAAGTATTGACAAAGTTTGATGTTATACATTTCCCCCAACCTGTATCCTGTAACAACTATTGTGTCATTGATGAGTCTCTCTTTCTTTAGCTCCCCTTGCCCTCTTCTAATGCAAACACATGTCTGGTTTCTTGTACCTGTGCGTCCACGAGGAGGTGCCTCATCAGCGTCATGGACTTCTGCAGCGGCTCCTTCTCAGGAGGAGAGAACACAGGCTGGTCCGGCTCCACAGGCTTGGGTCCAGTCACAATGAAGCTTGCAATCTGGTCATTAATGCTGTTCAGAGACTGCACGGCTAGAAGGGGACACACAAAACAAAAGCCAGTTATCATTCAGAGCATTTGGATTTTGACATGATTAAACATCAGTCATTAATCTGTAGAATTTAACTGGCATTACAAAAGACGGTTAAAAAACTGAAATTATAGCTTTTTTATGCTGTTGCTATCAGTGCAGGCAGGCTTAAGTGCATCATAAAATGCTTTAAATACCAGAGCGCCATTAAAAACACACACACACACAGTCATATCTCTTCTTCCTTTGTGGATGTATTGGCTCTCTCTGAGCAGGAACAGCAGAGATAACATTGGGAGAACAAGGTTTCCGACTGTCACACTGATTTCTCTGTCAACGCCATTTCTGGTCCAGAATGTTCCGTGTCGGCCTGAGAGCCATCCTGTTTTTGTTTCCTTGCTCTTGCCCTTGTGTGTCCCTGGCAAACCTCTCCTTTCAGGTTTCCTCTCCGGGCTTCCACATAAAAAAAATAGCTAGCCCCACTGTATTTCCTTCTTCTCACACTCACACACACACACTTCTTCAATCCATTTACCATTAATCCCCCTTAGCCTCTGAAAGATCACCACAACTATTTCCGAGGCCACCCACATGGCGGAAAAGGAAAGAGTGTGAGAAAAAGCAATTTCCATATTTTTGTGCCTTTTTAGCATAAATATCTCTGTTGTATTTTTCATGAGCGGCTATACTAACCCCCAATGTGTCATTATCCATCTCTTCAGTGTTTAAACTTTGCTAAAATGTCACACTTATAAAAGGGAGTCAAAGGTGCCGTGATGAAGAGGCCACCTGATACAGACTCTCAAACATTCAATCTCATGTTCTGCTGAAGAAATGCCCTGGCACATTTCTGGCAAATTAAAATATATCCAATCTGCTAAATCCATACTGAGTAGGATGAGTTTAGGCCAAGAATCTGGATAGGGTCTTTTCAGGATGTAAATATAAAGCCTCTTTCACACACGGAGAAAAAAAGAGCAAGCGCATAGATTAATGCGTTACATAACCAAAATAAAAATCTTTCACCGTGGCTGACATTTCCGAGCTAACAAGCTTTGAGGAGGAAATTTGACAAGTCGGCACCGAAGGCGGCAGAGATAAGAGGGGAAAGAGGGGGGGTGAAGAGGCAGAGCGTGTCCCCTGGCGGTGAGATTGGAGCAGCCGTCAGATGTTTGAATACGTGAGCGCCGGGTTCACAGACACTCCAGCCACCTCTCTCATACAGCGCATCACATCAAGCACTACAGTAAGCTGGGGTTTGTTCCGACATGTTTATGTGGTGGATTCCAAAAGGCAAAAGGTAACATGTTCTCTTCCTGCTACCTTCCTGTATAATGTACCTGAAGTGGTAACCACACAGGTGCACATCAGCAGCTCTGTGTGAAGCCTTTTCACCGCTTCCCTCAAGCTTTGGCAGATGTTAGTTCAGACGCTGACTCTTAGTGCCCTCTACTGTCCAAACAAATAACATGCAGGCCCTTCTGAATAACAAACTGTCATTTTAATCATGGGTTTTTAATAATTCTCCCTTCTTGTGTTTGTAAATGGTGTTGCCAAAACGAAAGACACCTACAGCTGAAACAATTAGTCTATTAATCAATAAGTTGATCAACAGAAAAATAAATCGGCATCTGTTAAAGACATGTTTTTAAGTACAAATACCAAAAGTGCAGCTCACTTCTGAAATGTAAATATTTGCTTCTATAGTATCCCCTTTCAAAATGTTATTCTATTCAAAATAAGAGTTTTAAAGACCTCCTCTTGGTCTTTGCGAAACGGAGATGGCATTGTTCATGCTCTTGACATTTTTATAGACCAAACAATGTTCATGAAGCATTATCTAAGCTAGATCCTAAGAAACCGGCTGGCCCGGACAACGTAGAACCTTTCTTTTTAAAGATAGCTGCAGATTTTATTGCTCTTCCTCTTACTACTCTTTTTAACCTCTCTCTCAGCACAAATGCAATTCCAAAAGTATGGAAGTCAGCTTATGTCTTGCCTTTACTAAAAGGAGGGGAGGCAACTATTTTAAATAACTATAGGCCAATCTCTAAATTGTCAGTTCTGGCGAAGGTGCTCGAACGCCTAGTGAGTGAACAGGTAAAGGAGTTTTTATGTAAAAATGATATCCTGTCTAAACATCAGTCAGGCTTCAGAAAGCAACATAGCAACATCACTGCCACAATGAAAGTGGTAAATGACATTACGAGTATTTTAGATAATAAGCAGAGTTGTGCAGCTCTATTTATTGACCTTTCCAAAGCGTTTGATACCGTCGATCATCGCATCTTAAAGCAGAGGCTACTCAGTATCGGCATATCCAGCCATGCCGTAGGGTGGTTTGTGAACTACCTCTCTGAAAGGTCCCAATGTGTTCATTTTGATGGGCTATCTTCTGAGTGGTTAAACATTACTAATGGTGTTCCTCAAGGTTTTAGGTCCACTTTTATTCTCCATATATATCAACAGTTTAGGTGAAAATGTGGATGAAGCTACTTTACATTTTTATGCGGACGATACCGTGATGTACTGTGCAGGTCCCTCCATTAAGGAGGCTGGTGTTAAATTACAGGCTGTTTTTAACATTATTCAGACTCAGCTCGCTGAGCTTAAGCTTATTTTAAATGTTGAGAAAACCAAGGTAATGCTCTTTTCTAAAGCTAAAAAGACTACAGACACTGCTTTGGATATTGTTACTATGCAAGGACAAGTACTCAAAGTGGTTACCTGTTATAAATACCTAGGTATCTGGCTTGATGATTGTCTTACTTTTAAACTTCAGGTCATTAATCTGCTTAAAAAGCTGAGGGTTAGACTAGGTTTCTTTTTCAGAAACAAGTCCTGTTTCTCTTTTGAAGCCAGGAAAAGGCTAGTCACTGTGACCTTTTTACCTGTGCTGGACTATGGTGATTTGATCTATATGAATGCACCTGCCCATTGCCTGGAAAAGTTAGATGCCGCCTATCACAGTGCACTGAGATTTGTTACTAACTGTAAAGCACTTACTCATCACTGTACCCTGTATGCCAAGGCAGGTCTGCCTTCACTAACAGTCTGCAAACATGTTTAAAACTGAGCACTTTGGTTCCCCTACATCATTTTAAAACTCAGCTGGGTGACATGCTGTTTGATACTCATGGTACCTGTCTCTGTAAATAGAGTTTGTAAACTGTACCCTGTACATTATGTTGTATGTCATCCTTATTGTTGTTCTGTTGTTTTTATGTTACATGTGTAACTAATGTCCTGCAGGTCACCCTTGAAAAAGAGATCTTTTGATCTCAAGGGGCTTTCACCTGGTTAAATAAAGGCTACAAACAATGAAGGAAATATTCAAGAAAGTAATCGGAAACTGTAGCCCCACTCTCATTATTATACAGTCCAGTTCAAAAGCACGGTAAACCTTAAGCTCAATAATATACATTGTAAAATAACCCCCTCTCTGACAGGGTCAATTAAATTAACATTAATTAAAATGCAGAGCCATTGATTATGAAAGACACACACACACACACACAATATGTTCTTCTTCGAATATTAACTGTCCAGTCGCAAAAATCGTAATCATTGCGCATTCACATTAAGAAAAAGCAATCAAATACATCACGCATCTTTTCTCAGACAAACTATGAACCTGCGAGAGACACATCCCCGTGTCTCAGCAGTCTCCTTGTGCAAACTGAAATAGATTCTCCCCACAGCTCGCCTTCAGCAAACATAAAATCTGAGAGGCAGGGATGAATGTGCTAAAGAAACAGAGAGCTAAAATTGCAGTAGTTAGGTAACAATAGTTGCACAAAATAAAATGTAATTCTTGCTGAGCCCTCCACTGTTACTTCACTTCGTCTTCTTTCTGTCATTGTTTTTCTTTCCATGGGTGTCTCGCCTGCATAGACACATTACAAAGTGCCTCACAAGTCCTCCTATGGAGCTGAACAACGAGGATGAGAGGCCACAGAGACGCCCTGTCAGGCTTTATCTGCTCTGTAGGGACAACTTTGGGTACCAGCCGAAATAAGATCACTACCGATGAAACATTTATGAAAAAACGTATGCAGTAAACCTAATAGAATAGGGTGCAGAAAGTCAGGCTTATGTCGAGATAAAAAGGGGCTTATTTCTTGGGAATTATTCATAGCACACATGAAATCTTGGAGAAATGTCACGAAATATGGTAGGTGACGAGCCAAAATTCAGTTCTGAGGGTTCTGATGTCAGACTTGCGTTTTCTGCTATTCACTGAGCTGTGAAAGGATCCATAGAGTTCTTTATTGAACTTGGGGGAACCAACTTCTTCTTCGCTATCGAAAACTGTCACTTTGCAACTCTGCATATAAAGTGATGGCGTAATGTTCAATCATGTGCAGAAGTAATTCTATCAATTGTAATCCCTGTTTTAGAACATAGTCGGTATTTCACTTCAGAATGTGAATAACATTATCATAAAGTCCCTATTTTAATGTATTATTTAGAATTTGATTCTGGCACTAATTCACCTACGGGCCAAGTGGATGGGAAAGAACAGAGTTGAGGTATCAAAGCTCCAGCAGCATTTGAAGTTCTGAGGGGTTGATGGCGCTTTGATAAAGTCAGATAAAACAGTCTGAAGTCAGTGATGACAATTGATAGGCCAGGTGATGAATAATGGTTGGGCTGAGTGTTGGACCTTCAAAAACCAAAATGTTACGGAAAAAACATCAAACTGACATTACTGTATGCTTTCTCGATGATGTATGGTTTTTTAATGTATTTTTTTTAAATCAACATTATGTAATGATGCTCAGATTGCATTAATGTATCTATGCTACATTATTGGGTTGATTTCAGGCGGGACTATGGCTGAACGATTAATCAATTTTAAATCGAAATCGGGATTTTAAATGATGCAGTTATCAAATCGCAAAGCTTGCGGTTTTTTGTTTTTTAAAGTTTTTTTGTTTTGTTCTTCTTGTGTGTCAGTCATCCACACCAATCAGAAGTGCTGTGCTCCACATGTACCAG